CTTGCTCCTCCTCACACCATGGCGGTTCAGCCCATGGACTGATAGCAAACTGTGCATCACCTCAGCTCTTCAGATCTCCACTCCTTTAAGGCCTGGCCCAGGGTGCCGCCCTCTGGGAGAACAACCTCCATCAGAAAGAGCCCAAACCTGAACTAGAGTGCACTGGCTTTGATGTCTTTGATGCTAAACAAGGCATACCATGAGTCACAAATCTCAACTTCTCCTTCAAACAACAATCAAGACTAAGGGAACCGGCTCTCTTTTCTAAGGTAAAAGAGCTTCTGATGGATACTGAGGCAGCTCGGTACTTTGTGAAACTGCACATAATTGCTGGGCAGATGACCACTGAGCGTTTGAATAACACAGACACATTTTATACCTTGACGGGAAAGTCAGGGGAAGTCTTCAACGATGATAAGGTAAGGGTTTCTCTGAATTTCACTCCTAGAATTAAACTGTTCTCTGAGTCAGTGCCCCTGGCCTTTTCTCTCTTTGTGTTTGGAGCTTATGAAAGTTTACAAAGAACTTCTTAACTTTTTCCTTGTTTGTCAAAGCACATTTCCTATGTTGGAAGAAGCCGAAAGCAACATGATGAAGGATCAGGAAGGAGGGGGGTTATAAAGTATTTGGTCTGGGTCTGAATTCGTTTTCAAAGCATCATTTGTCTGCTGGCAGGAAGGAGAAACTGCTGTAAACCTGTTTCCTGGAAGCATCGGCATAAAGCCAGATCAGCATTTTTTTTACAAAAGGAAATGGATTTGTTTGTTTTAGATTCCTAGGGTTTATCCATCCTCTCTAACTTAACAATCCATCTCTCCTAATGCCATTAGTTCTGTTTTGTTTTTTCCAAATAAAGCTACCTTCCCCCATCCACAACTAACCCTTCCTGTGACCTTACTCCCATTACTGAGCTGGGGGCAAGTGATTAAGCAAGAGAATGTGCCTTAGGGGCTATGGCCAGCACCATTGCATTTCACCAATTATCAATAGTTGCTGCAGTTATGGAGTGATTATTCTGCGCAAGGTACTGGAATAAACCTTTGTTTATGTTATATAAGTCTCACAACAACCCTTTGAAGGAAGTACTGTCATTAACCCCGTTGTTCCAATGGGAAAACCCAGAGGTCACACTGTAGATACTGATCTGCCTGACTCCAAAGCCCGCATCCTTAACCAACAACAACAAAAAATCCATTGCTGTTGAGTTGATTCTGACTCTTAGCGACCCTATAGGACAGAGTAGAACTGCCCCATAGGGTTTCCAATGAGCGCCTGGTGGATTCGAACTGCTCGTAACCACTACGCCACCAGGGTTTCTGCATCCTTAACCAGTATTCTGTATTGTTTGTGCGAGGATGGATGGATGGATAGGTAGGTAGGTAGACAGATAGACAAACAGGTAGGTAAGTAAGTAGATAGATACATACATACATACACAGATAGATAGATGATAGATAGATATGGGTGGATAATAGCTAGATATGGAGATGTGGCTTCCTTCTTCACAAGGACATGCATTCATCAATTCAACAAATATTTACTAACTTTGCAACATGTAGGAGCCCTGTGGGAGGAAGAAATAATTAGCTTCATTTATTAATTCAACAAATATGTTATATTATGTTCCTTCTCTGTGCAAGACACTAAAGTAGGTGATGAATTTACATTAAATAGTCCAGCCCTTATGCAGTGTGCAGTCTATTGGGGAGATCTTTATAATGCCTTAGCTACATTTAGCATGTGATAGTCATGACCAATTTCACACATATGATCTTGTTTGATCTTAATAAAAATCCTGTGACGTCAACCAAGCAGATACCTTCATCCCCATTTTGGTTAAATGACCCACCAAGATCACACAGCCAATAATGGCGGGACCCAAGAACTCAGGACTTCCTAGTCCAGTGCTCCTTACAGGACACCACATTAATTTTCTTTTTTCTTGGTATTTTAGGACAATCAACTTAAGCTTAAACTCTATGGAGGCAAAAAGAAGGTAAAAATTATACAGGGCAACATGATTGCTTCCAATGGGCTCCTGCACATCATTGACAGAGCCATGGACAAGATGGATCCCACATTTGAGAGCAACACTAAGGTAAGCTGTATCAGGTAAAAGTGATGTCAGCCCTGGAGAGCCACATCCAAGAAGAAAATGTCTGACATTGACATTTGTACTTGGACCCCAAGCATGTGGAAGATAAAAACCCCTTGCTGTTGAGTCGATTCCAACTCATAGTGACCCCGTAGAACAGATTAGAACTGCCCCATAGGGCTTCCAAGGAGCGGCTGGTGGATTCGAACTGCCAACTTTTTGGTTAGCAGTCAAGCTCTTAACCACTGCACCACCAGGGCTCCATATGGAAGATAGAGTAATTTAAATCTGTTTTCAATAGAATTCTAGGTACACCTGCAGGGAGAAAAAAAGACACATAGTAGGTGTAGGGAAAATACACCTTTTTCCTTTTTGTGACCTCCCTTGTAGCTACATTTGGCCACAGCAGCCAGTTTTCATGAAAATTTATTACTTATGCTTTATGGAGGAGGATGGTTCTCACTGCGATAAACTTGATTCTCTCCGATCTGTATGATAATGGCCAAAGATTACTTCAGAACATGCAGGTCCAAACTACTGTTTAAATAACAACATCAAACATTTGTATAATACATTGAAGTTCACCAGTTCCATATATATACAGGAGCCCTGATGGCACAGTGGTTAAGCGTTCGGCTACTAACCAAAAGGTCAGCAGTTCAAATCTACCAGCTGCCCCTTGGAAGCCCTATGAGGCAGTTCTACTCTGTCCTATAGGGTTGCTATGAGTCAGAATCAACTCAACGGCAATAGGCTTGGTTTTTGGTTATACACATGTATATATATATATATACATATATATATGTAAAGCTTTACGTGTGTGTAAATATATATATTTATACATCTATTATTATATATACATACATATGTACTTGTAGATACATACATACATACATGTATATATACACTTAAACTCTGTCACCAGTCTTTTAACATTAGGGTTTTTATTTCCTAAACCATCTTATTTTTTTTTTTTACTGAATTTTAAGTAAAATGTCTCTTTTTAGCAAACCATAATGACAATGCTACAACCAAGATACAGCAAGTTCAGATCTTTGTTAGAGGTATGTACTTTCATGAATTTCTGAAAAATGTTGTATGTCAACTCCTTTGTGAAATTAGTGGGGGTGTCGATTATAAATACTTGCTGAGGAGTTATTTCAAATACTTGTCTGAATAGGTTTCAAATATATAAAATTTCATTTCTCAAATGCAGGAAACCAATATGGGACACGCCTTAGATGAGGATGGGGTTGGTGGACCATACACCATTTTTGTTCCAAGTAATGAAGCATTAAATAACATGAAGGATGGCACTCTCGATTACCTCCTTTCTCCAGAGGTATGGTATCCTTATCTGATGACATCGTGTCAGCATCACTGCCTCCATCTGTGTCCATACAGGCCTTTTCTAAACTAGCAATGGCAAATAAGTAGCACATGTATCACCAACTACCCTCCCACAACCAAGGCAGACATCACTAATCAATCATAGCACTCTGCAACAAAGCCTGGATGTGCCTCAATCTCCTTCTCAACAAAGCTCCAGGTAGCTATGACCAGTCAATCAGACCAGGCACAGGAAACAAAATCATTTTGCAACCACAGGTCTAAATAGTTGGCTTGATTTGTCCTAGCCGTTCTAGTATTTCTGAGTAGCAAAATCAACATTTTGAGTTCCCCAGGACTGTAAATCCACTTAAAGTGAAGCCTGAACTAAGCCATCAGGGGCCAGACATAGGCTAAATTTAAAAAGGGATAAATGTAATTTTTAGATGCCCAAGCCTTTTCTTTCTATTGCCTTCATCTCCCTGCATGATAACTCTCTCCTAATATACACAGACCTCTAGTTCTCTCGCATCCCCCTCTAGAAAGATTATGGACTCCTTCACATTCAGGCAAAAATGACTGAAACCATTTAAAGTGTTTCCTCTTCCAGGAATAGCAGCCTTAAACTGAAGAGAATGGGAGGCTAATTATGGGATTTTGTTCATTAGAAAATCAAATGGTAGAATTGTATGAAAGTCCAGAAGTTTTCTTCCAGGTCCCTAAAATCATGCTGCCATCTTGTTGATGGGTAAGACTACCTATAGTCCCATACAGATCAATGTTGATTCTACAGACCAGGAGTTCCACATCTTTTAGGGTACTGATTCCCAAACATTAGCGTGCTTAGGAATCATGCAATAAGCTTGTAAAGTAGGCAAATTCCAGAGCCTCACCCCAAGCATTCTGATTTAGTGAGGCTGGAATGAGGCCCAGAAAAGATATTTTTGGCAGACACCACCCTTGTAACTCAGGAAGTCCCAGGTCACACTGTTTGAGGAATCCTGAAACTTGCTGTTGCCTGTTTGGTTTAGGGGTTCATGTACATGCATGTCCTTCTAGAATACTTTCAGGTATCTACAAGGATATACTGCTTTCAGAAAACTTTGGATTGAAAAAAATTATCAAGGAGATAAATCAGAAGGTAATCTCTTTCATTGCAAACACGTCTTCAACATATTAAAGGATCTGGTCTTTTAAAAAGCCAGCTCTCCCAGTGTATTTAAAATATATATATATATATGTATATATATATGATTCACACGCAAGTTTTCTAAATCTAGCTATTGCAGTAAGAGATTTTATGTTCCTCTGAGTATATAAGGAGTCCCTGGGTGGCACAAATGGGTAAGCACTCCACTACATGCCAAAAGATTGGCAGTTCGAACCCAACCAGAGGCATCAGAAGACAGGCCTGGTGATCTACTTCCAGAAGGTCACAGCCTTGAAAACCCTATGGAGCAGTTCTACTCTGCACACATGGAGTCGCCATGAGTCAGAATCAACTTGATGGAAACTAACAACTGAGTACATAGCTTTTAATTTGATATAGGTATTTTTTTTTTAAATAATCATGAAAGTGTTCTGAGGTACCTAATCAGGGACACTTAAACTAAAACCTTTTAACTAGTATAGAAAAAATTCAACCTCCCTGTTTCTCTGTAGAGCACTCTGTTCAGAAAACTCTTCTTTCTCCTGTCTTGTAACTTCCTTCTGGTGGTGACTGGAGCTGTCTTTAACTAGACTGCATGCATCTCTTCCCAGCTCTGTTCAGTGAGATCACATTGTAGCTTGAAATCAGCCTTTGTGGGAGTATTTACACCATGGAAATTGGCTAACTCTACAAATCAGGGTTTTTTATGTTTTTTCCCAGATAGCTGGTTTACCAGCACACCACTGTTTTTGGCTCTCAGTTTTGTTTCTCCTAAAGGAGACATCTTTTTGCCCTGCAAAGATTATAAAACTATAGGTCTCCTTGTTTTGAATCAAAGGCTATTTTCCACTTCACTTTCTAGATGAGAAGTAGGATAATTGTTTCTTTCTCTTTCTCCGGTCCAGAGGCTGTGTAGGTTAAAATTTCTCAACCTATGGAAAGCTCTTTCTCTCTCCATACATCTTAATAGAATCTTTTAGCATTGTCTTCAGGGAAGAGCATAAATGGGAGAATGTAAATTACCCATCAGCTATGCCAGTAAAATGGAAATAAACAGGTTTCATTAGCGGAATGCTTTCTAATTCTGACTTTGGAATATCATGCCTTCTTTCCAGTGCATCTTCCTACTTCTTCCTGAAGCAAAATTTCAGTCTCATCCCATCCCCTTGGAGACCACTGCTGCTAATGACAAGCCCTGG